AGACTAGTACAACCACCTCTGGGAAATAAAATTTGGGAGGCTACCCTTAAAAAGCTGGTATCACTCGATCTCTACCATTGATCCAGCAACACCACTCTCATGGGGATGATACCTCCAAGAACACTGTTTACTCCTAGAGGCTACCCTGCACATCCATGTTTATCTTGTGGGCACTATTCACAATAGCCAAGTTATGGGAAACAGCCAAAGATGCCCCCTGACGAATGGATTAAGAAAATGTGGTATCTATGACACCAATGGAATTTTATGCAGCCATGAAGAAGAACGAAATGTTATCATTTCTGGTTAAATGGATGGAATTGAGAGAACATCATTCTGAGTGAGGTTATGCCTGTGCTCAAAAAACCAAAAATCGTATGTTCTCCCTCAGTTGGACATTAGATCAAGGGCAAAACACAAGGGATGGCTATGAGCACATGATAAAAGCGAGACACACAAGGGAGGGGTGAGGATAGGTAAGACACCTAAAAAAACTAGCTAGCATTTGTTGCCCTTAACGCAGAAAACTAAAGCAGATACCTTAAAAGCTACTGAGGCCAATAGGAAAAGGGAACAGGTACTAGAGAAAAGGTTAGATCAAAAAAGAATTAACCTAGGTAAGGCACCCCACGCACAGGAAATCAATGTGAGTCCAATGCCCTGTATAGCTATTCCTTATCTCAACCACAAAAACCTTGTTCCTTCTATATTGCTTATACTCTCTCTACAACAAAATTAGAAATAAGGGCAAAATAGTTTCTGGGGTATTGAGGGGGGGGGAGAGGGATGGGGGTGGTGGGGCAGGGGGAGAAATGAACCAAGCCTTGTATGCACATATGAATAATAAAAGAAAAATGAAAAAAAAATACTGTCTTTTGCAGCTCCTGGTCTGTCACACACATGTCTTCTTTGGGGCTTGTTAGGCTCCACAGAGAAGACTACAGTCAGATGTTGAAGCATCCAAAGGAGCTAAAGCTGTTACACCAGTGATTTCTGCTTTTGGTTTTTACTTTTTGTTTTTTTCCTTTGCTTACATTCCATGGAAAATATTTTGAGAAACCAGGAACTCCCTCAAGCATTTTTATGTTCATTTAAGATTTTTTCATCCTATCAAAGGATCTAATTTCTGATAGTTTTATTTTAAAGTATAAATGTTTATAAACTGTCTTTTAAAAACGTTTCAAGTGAAATTATAACACCGTAGTCATTTGGTAGCTGTCATCAGTCATTTAAAAATGTATGAACATGCTGTTCTTTAGCAATTGCAAATTTATCATTCCATTTTTATCTTGAACTTGTATTTCCTTTCTGTTTTCTCCATAGAATTTTATCTTAAATGAAATACTTTTGATTTCTGATAGTCACTTATCATACTATCATACTTTTGTAAAAAGTGGACCTAAATTTAATTTAATTTTTATTTCTAGTTCTTACAAGGCACAAAGTGTCAAAAATAAATTTTAATATTGAGGCATCATCATTAGTTGTCAGTTGATTAAAACACTACAAACATATTAAAATTTTAATAAGTAATTATTAAACCTAAACCTGAAATATTTTTGGAAAAACATTTCTTACTGGGATAGTTCTGTGATTGACCATTGTTTTTTACTAGAATGAGGCAGTATTGCCTGCCAAAGTCTTTGTTTTTATGAAGTGCTGAGGAACTTCATTCACATACATGAATAGACAGGAATAATTTTGTTAGAGGGGGAATTTTGATTGGATTACTCAGGAGACACTCCCTTTTGCAGTTCTGTAATATACCAGGCTTTACAAGATGGAACAAATGATTTAGTTATACCTGCTGCTTGACACCCACAAAAAATAAATAAATCAGTGATAAATTTCAGAACACCTTCTTGGATTCCTCTATCTGTCCACCCATTACCCTCTGCCAGGTGCCCCTGTCACAAAGGTAATTGTCAACATATTCTTCACATTTATTTACATCTCTGTGCTAGTTCAATGACTAGCCTCAGAAAGAACTCACCTGCATGTTGAATGGAAGATCCCCACCTGCTCTTTTCCTTTGGGTTAATGTTTTCAGCTTCTCTTTTGATTTAAATGTATTTTTGTCAAAATGCTGCATGTTCTTCCTATCGTTGCAAATCAGTCAGTTAAGTAGGACTTACTTTCTGTCAGTGAAGGTCTGTTCTGTGAACTCACTTAACATGTTCATAATGCATGTTACATGAGAGCTGCCATTGCTCTCTGATCGGTCATAAAAGGCTGACAGGTAGATTGAAGTAGGCACCTGCCTCCACTCGCTGACCCATTGTTTGAGCTTCCTGTACTTCCTCTACACAGCTCATCCTTGTCCTGCTCACATGATCTTTCCCTTGGGTTCTAATCACTGACTAGGTATTGCCCTGACAGAAACCACCATCAAGCTGGCAGTGCTCCCTGTGTTCCTAGTGGAGATTTCCACAGGACTCGGGGGGTGGGGAGGGAGAGGCTTGGCATTGGACCCTGCTGTAGAACCAGGATTAGAGATGGCTGCTTCCACTCCTCGTGTGCCCCTGGAGATTTTCATGCTGAGTTGGGACAGATCTCAGGTCAGGTTGGCCTGCCTTTCTCTGTGAAGCTGTAGCAATGCAGTTGTGAAGGAGGAATGTGGCAGGGACCCTGCATCATGCCTCAGCCATTTTAAAGCTCTCTGAATACCTAGGCTGAAAATCATTGCTTTAATCCTTGACTTAGCCTGTGTCAAGAATTTTTTTTTTATCTTGGGAGGAGTCTTGTTATGTTGCCCAGGCAATTTTCCCCCAACTTTATTAGAACACCCATTATTTGGAAACAGGAGGATGTAGATATTTTCTGCCCAGGTAGTATATCTGCACTACCTCTTCTATGTATGAACTTGTGGTGACCATTCTGCTCTTGGGACAGCTTTTTCCCCCACTTCTCTCTTGAGCTGCAAGAGGCAGGGGTGAGCCAGGGTCTCCTGGCCAAACCAAGCCCTGTAAGATAAATGTACAGGAAAGCCCTCTTTGAGTATTGTGGTCTGCTTTTCCCAGAAATAACACTCTACTGTGGTGTCTGATCTCTTGGGCTTTCAAGTCTGGACAGAGCTGCTTGCTCAGTACAAACTCAGATGCAATCAGGCCCAGAATGTCATTTTTCTTATTATGCCTTTTACTGCATCCTCTCCTCTGACCAATGTTGTGCCAGATCTAGAGGTCAGAAAGTTGCTCAGTAAACGCAGATGTAGAGAGAGGGCTGGGGTGGGACATGATGCCCTCTCCACAGCAGGGAGCTGCTGACAGTGCCCTCTGGCCTGTTTGTTGGTATTGATAAAACTTACTTTTCAGCCAGCCACTGCTGCCTACCTCCCACCTCAGCACACCCCCCACCCCCAAGCTGTAAAGCTGAGTAGCTTCAGTTGCCCTTCAGGCTAACCTTTCTGGTACATTTCATAGCTTATCATAGGAATAGCCTACCTTACATGGTTTACGTTTTTGGTCTGCTGTCTGATGACATACAGGGAGGCCACTGAATTTAATTGATAATCCGACTCAGTCACTGTGTAAGAAGAGTTAAAAGTCTTCTAAGGATTTCCTAATGATTAAAGCATAACCCTCTGGAGCCAAACTACCTGAGCTTAGATCCATCACTGTCTATGTCACCTGATGATTCAGTTGATCTTCCTGTCCTGAATCTCAGTTTTTTCATCTGTAAAATGGAGTTAATATCTCTCCCTGAGATTGTCTAAAAGACCAAGTGTAACTAAAACAACAGGAATTCTCATTAAATTCAGTCTTTACCCTGAAGATAGGTTCTCATTCACACTGTTGGATTGAGTTTCTTCCCTGGCTCAGGTCTCTGGCATCTCCTCAGCTTGTCTTACTTTTAAGAGTCTGTTGTGCTGCCCACACCTCAGAAGAGAGGGCTGTATGCCAGCCCATCAGTGGAGCCTGGCCCATCTTTTCCTGTCCATGTTTCCTTGATATAGATAGGTTGGTCTTGGACTTTCCATTTAAGTTACTTCCAAACACCTTGGAAGCAAACCAGGAGGAGGTCACGTCTGAATGACATAAGCCAGTCTTTGACACAGCCCTTATAATAGTACTCACAGCACTTTGATTCTCACCTACGGTGTCACATGACATCCTCACCTCCACCATGTGCCAGAATAATTTTTTGGTGGATTGACTAGTTCTAGATTCAGTGTAATAACTGTAATCATGAGCATCTAGAAACAATGTAAATGAATATGTAGTATCACAATGGGCAAAGGTATATAAGTTTTTAAAAGCAATGGAGAAAATTGTCTAAAAATGAAAAGTCATGTCAAAATACATCCTAAAAGGCTGGATGTGGTGGCTCAGGTTTGTAATCAGCTACCTGAGTGGTAGAGATTGGAAGGATCTCTGTTCAAGGTCAGCCTGGGCAAAAAGTTAGTGAGACCCCCATCTCAAGTCAATAAGCTGGGTATGGTGCTTCACACTTGTGATTTTAGCTGTGCAGGAAGCTGTAAGTAGGAGGATCATGGTTTGAGGCCAGCCTTGAGCAAAAATGAAAGACCCTATCTGAAAAATAAAGTTTAAAAAAGGGGGTTGTCTGGGCATATGTGGCTCAAATGGTAAAGCCACTTTTGTAGCAAGTGTGAGGCCTTGAGTTCAAACCCCACTGTTGCCAAATTCTAAAAATGAAATTAAGCAGGAAAAATACCTAATACATATGACAAAGTATTCATACATTTATGTTTTAAAGAATTAATATATAACCAACAAAATGCTAATGCATCAATAGAAAACTGGGCATAGTTTTGTTGACATGGTTATGTGTGAACACATGTGTTTATATATATTTATACACAAATACATCCATTTGCTTAAGTACCTGTGACATTTCTGTATAAACATGCATAGGAGAAAGACTAAAGGATACACACCAAAATATCAATAGTGATTGTTGTCTCTGGATTGTTGAGCTATATTTTTTCTTTATGTATCTGTATATTTTCCAAGTTTTAACTTTCATTTGTACCATTTGTAGTTATATTGTCTTCCTTATACTGCTATCTGTTTTCCAAATTTTATATATAAGTATGTATTTTCTTTTAGAATCAGAAATAGGTTTTATAAGATCCTACTTAATTGCAGTTTCTGTGCTTCTGAAGAAATTCTTTGGCCATATGTATTCTCTGTGAGAAACAGAAAACACCTAAAGTTGGCAACTTAAGTGTGATTATTTGTTCTTCGAATAGCTTTCTCCTGTGTCCTGTCTGCCTCCTAGTCCCTCCCTTGGAATTTTCCCCTCCCTATGACTGTTTCTGCCCTAGACATCTTTGAAATTTTTCTTTCTCTTCCTTATTGTTTCACCTGCTTTGTGTATTTAGGTTTCCTTTCAAATGCACAGAATGTCCTGTTCCCTCAGGCTTGGGTTTAGAAATAAGCACAGGTCAGCCTGGCAGTTCCAAGTTCCCTTTCTGCAGTACAGGAGGTGTGCCTCATGGGATGACCGTACCAGGATGCCTTGCTCAGGGTCTGAAGTGTGGGGTGATGTCCTTCCATGGTGCACTTTGTGTCCCGGTCACTGTGTTCCTGACCCTGCTGTCAGGTTACAAGCTCAATAAGGCAGGAACTTTGGTGTGCACTCTGAACAGGGGCTCAATAATTGTGTTTTGAATTGAGTGAATGATTGAATCTACTGCAGTATCAAAGCCTATAGGAATTGTGTGATAATCTCAAACTTATTCTAAAAAAATTATATATTTAACTTTTTATTTGATTGTCCAAAGCCTGATATAGGCTGTCCATAGGGAAGAAAAGGTAAATAAATTCTTTCTGTAATCCACATTGGCTTTGTTTTCTCAATAATCAATTTTGCATCTCCAAAAATTACTGTAGTTCTGTACATTGGAGTTGAAGCTTCCCATTTATGTGGCCTGCCAGTTCTTCATATCCAGAATAATTAGTAAGCTAAATAAGTCTTTGTAAGATAGTTAAGTGTTTTTATATCAGAACCTGTTTTAAATGGAACTTATTTCATGTGATGTCTGGGTTCACCACCACCACTGATGCTGGAGAGGAGGGAGCCCCAGGAGCCCAGTACACTGTCCCCTCTGGGCTGTGTCCCCTACCTTTCCCTTCTAGTCTCTCCTTGTCTGCACCTGTATGGGATATTTCCAAAAAGGTTGTTGGATGGGATGGTACTTACGATTTCCTCTGTCCTAATCTACTGCTGAATAGTGACTGACCCTTGCCACTGCAAGGTCTGTTTTAGAAACAGAAGAGGGAAAACCAAGGTAATTTCTAATGCCTGTCCACAAAAGAGGTTAGCTGAAATTACATTTAGATTGTTAACAAATCCTCATTAATATTAAGACACTAGGCTTTTCCAGAAAGATGCATTTTTAAGACTAAAGAAAACCTTTGTGACATTGTGGCAAAGGAGTGAGATTTTGTTTGTCGTTCAGCTTGCAAACACTGCCATTTACTGTTTAGTCTACATTTTTTCTGGAGAAGACTTAATACCAACTTTAGTGTTTTTGCTGATTTTAGATGGCTTATTTTTGAACCCTCTAGTACATTTTTTAAGTCATTATCTACTGTCCCTATGGCCAATTAAAAATCGTCTTACAAGCTATCATAGATTGAATCAGATATTGCTATTATTCTTCTCCCAAGAAAGATGACATTTATGATCCCATCAATTTATTGCTTGTTTTTCAAAACAAAGCAAAATATGACTGTTAGTGCACCCAGTTATGTAGGAACTCTGGAAATTCCAGAGACTGATGAACATGTCGTTAGTAACCAAAAATACTGAGATCTTAAGAATGATTGAAGTCAGCTCTTAATAATGAGCTGACATATTGCTTATACCATTACATAAAATAGCTAAAGCATTTCAGAGCTGATTAATGGCTCCATGGTTTCAAATTTATTTGGAAGACAGACTTAGAATTGGGTAGTTTTGTCAGTCTGTCTTGGTGTTACACCACTATAAATGATTCTGCTTACTCTACTATTCCCCTCATTGTGTAGGGTCTTAGTCCTGTTCCAGTTAGCTTAGGAGAAAAGGAATACTTAGTTTTAAGGGCACCAGGGTATCTCAGAAATCTCGTGAATGACTGGAAGGTGGGCAATAAATCTGTTAGGGGGATTCAGGCGGCACCAACTTTGTCCTATGGATCTATGCATAGCAGCTGCTTGGTGTCCTTCTGATCAGGTGTGGCAATTCAGTAGGGGAATCATAGGACACAAAATACAATTGTGTTCATGGCATGACTTATTACAAGAGCAAAGAAGCAAAATGAATACAAGGAGAAAATGCATGGTCAAGGTCCAAACGACACTGGCTGCAAGCCCCTGGGAGTTCTCTCCCAGAAGAGTTCCGCCATTCCACTTCATTGCCCCAAGAGGAGTGAGCTGTGAAAATCCATGGAATGTTGCCAGCCAGGACAATGTAGGGATTTTGTTGAGGATTACTCATGCATATAGCCTTGTTGATATGTACCCAATTCCAGGCTCTCAGAAGGAAGCAAGTGTTCTACATAGACCATACTGTTTGTATAGATAGTCAAGGAACAAAGTACATTGTTAGGGAGTGGTGGGGATCCTCCCCAAACCTAAGTTCTCAGGGCAAATAGAACTTTCCCCTTTCCATGCCAGAGTTTACTTACCTTTTAGGTCAGGTTGCTTGTCATAATAAACTTGGCTCTCAGGGATGCCCAATTCTAAATTCCTAGAAGAGAGAAATAGCCCAGCTAGGGTTTGATACCCATCCTGATGTAGGCAGTAGGTCAGAGAAATGGGTCATCTAGTGAGAACATGGATATTAAGAGTTCTTCCTATCTGTTTGTAGAGACAAAGGTTCATTCCAGACCCAGAAGACACTTCAAAAGGATGTCAATCATAGGAATGCATGTGTGGAAAAGCCTCTCAAGATTACATTCTTCATCTTGGCAAGGGTCCCTGTAAAAGCAGCATCACAGAGTAATAGAGCATAATGGTACCCAATTTGAGCCCTGGGTTTCACATGAAATTCAGCAGACCTAGTTACTCTGAAGAGAATGGGAGGTATCCATCTATATGAACACAGCGAATGCCTAAGAAATTCTGTAACAGATCCCAGCGCCTTTCCCTGAGTGTTTTGTAGTAGTCCTAGTGAACTTCTGTTCTTTACCATTCTAATTTGAACTGGTTGGAGTGCATGGAAGTGTTGTGATTCATCTCTGAGATTGGGTCTTGTGGCCGATGTGTAAAATAGCATATGCTTTTATAATAAAGTTTGTTTTAAAGCTTTCTAGGTAAAGCTTTCAACCTAACCTGTTGAAGGTTCTGTTTTTCAGCCCTCTGTCCTGTGTTTGAGTAATCCCAATCTTCTCAATAATACCCCTATAAGAAACTCTAATATTTCAGTTTTCTTTGAGACACCTTCTTACTGTGTAACCCAACTGACTCCAACTCAAGATCTTCCTGCCTCAGCTTCCCAAGTAGTGGGATTATAGGCATATGCCACCACACTCATCTAGAAACTCTCATATTTCTTGAAGGAAGCCTATTCGTTGTACAATGGATAGCTTTTATTTACTGGAAGCAGGAGCTGATATAAGAGTATTGAAGTGATCTTGAGGTGGTTCCTAACAGAGATACATAAAGATTCTGTTACACCTATGGCAGGGATGTTCTGGAAAGGACTGGGTATCAGCTACAAAATTTGCTGGAAACCCTGTGAGGTATGTAGCCCATGTAGAAGGTGTTCTGGATCCTTTCAGGCAATGGGAAATCATCAAAGAAATGTCATTGTACCTCTGTTCCTGGCTACATAAGGTTAGTATTGAGTGAATTTAAGGAAAACATGTTCATGTCCACACATACATATGCATGCATACACACACATGCATGCGTACACACACACACATGTTAGAGTGTAAATTAAACCCTAGTGCTTCCAGCCACATCCTCCTTTTTATTTAATGTGGAGTAGGGCAAAGTAGTCAACCCCCTCTACGTTGTACATAATAGGCATGGTCCTTCACTGTGGTCTGAGTGGCCCAGGTGCCTCACACTCTGTGATGCTCACTTCCCAGTCCTGTGACAGAAACAGGTAATCACCTGCAAATGGGTCCATCTAATGCCTCGACATAGGACATTCGCTGTTTGTCTCTTAGTCTCTTTCTGTAATACACACAAATGTGTCCTTAGATTAGTTTTTGCTTTCATATCTTGAATATCTTTGAGATGGTGGGGGAGAGCAGTAGTCATTTACAGAGAGGTTAATGTGCTCCGCTCCCCAGTGGTGGGGATTGAACCCATGGTCTTGTGCATGCTAGCAAAGTGCTCTACCACTGGGAATAATACCACCCAGGTCCCTGAGAATAACATGTCTAAAGAAAAGACAAGTGTTTCCTTGTGAATCTAAGAACTGCATGTGAAAGAAAGGAAAATTTCTAAGCTGTTCCAGTAGATGAGCAATAGAACTTTTGAAAACTGAAGTGAACCCACTTTGGGGGCACAGCCTGCAGGGGAAACCCTTCCTCAGATAACAAGCTGTATTTGCTCACTAGTTTAGGGTATCCTGAGGTAGTGACTTAAAATGCCATCTCCTGTCAAGAAACCTGTTCTTTGCATTCTTTATAGTGAAATCCTCAGGAATTGTTTTGATGGGCTAGTATGCACCCACAAAATCTTTGGAAAAGAAAATCCAAGAGTCAGTGGTAGTGGGCTATTACAAGCTCCTCTGGGTTCCCTGGCACCTTTCCAGTTCCTGGGGCTGAGGATACCCATTCTGACCAACACTAAGGCTTGGAGATGCTGGAGGTCATAATGAAGGCCAGGCTTATCAGAACAGTGTTTATTATTGGGAGTCTCCTCAACCTCCTGAGGGTGGGGCGGTGCAAGATGCTCCAGTAGGCATCCTAAACATGAGTTTAGGCTGTTCACCAACACCCAGCATGGAGAGCAAATGATTTCCATGACAAAGAATACTTGCAACACGTCTCATCTGGCCTATGTCTCAGTGATAGTATGGGTGGTATTGCACTTGCTTAAATTTAACTCATGTACTACTGATCTTTATGAGTCTGGTTGAGTTAGAAATGAGTAGACCTGCTATTATTCACCTTGAAATTTACTAATTGATACTACTTTATTCTGTCAATGGAAAACCATTGTCCTTTAATTGATTTCAGTTGTAGTTTTTTTTGGTGAAGGTGCTATTGTTTAAGTGGATGTACATTTCCCTCTGTTAACCAAATTCAGATCTGCATTTGTGTAGGTCTGGTATTCTTGTATTTGGTATCAAGCACCTGAGTACAGTGCTTGGTGTGTGGGATCTCAACATGGAGACTCAATTCTCAGCAACCTGCCAGGAGTTAGCATGCAGGCATGTAACATTTCTGTTGCATCTTTTGTTTTCACAGTGAGAGAAAAACGCAAGAGTCTCTTCATTAACCATGTAAGTGAAGCTGTCTCCCTGTGTTTTTCATGATGACTGTGTGCTGTGAAGAGCTTAAATTACCATGTCTTTGATGGTAAAAAATGCTTTGTGGGTTGTGCCAGTACTTAGAGAATGTACAATATGTTGCAGTATACTATGCCCACCTTGGTTTGCAATTGAACAGGCATCATCTGGTATTTGTCCACAGTCCCTAATAATTTTCCAGGTTCTCTAGATTACGGTTGTTATTGGGAAGATGTGTGTGAACAGTGCCATAACAAGACGCCACATAGGCCCAAATAAAAGCCACTTTTTAAAAATTTTGAATTTGTTCTTACCTTTATACTCATTCCTAAATTTTCTTTTTTTCCTGGTAGCCAACTCCATTTGAGTCAATACCTAATTGTTTCCCATAAGCTGCTGTGTACCTGCCTCCTCACTCTCTTTGCTGCCCAGGTGCTGTTTGTAGGTCAAGTCTCCACATTCCATGGGTGCTCAAGAAGAAGGGGATAAACCTACCAATTTAACTTTAAAAGGATTTTCAAAAGTCCCCTCAAGCCTGTGGCCATTCTGAGTAGTATGTCCCTCCTCTGGTGGCCAGGAGCGAGGTATCCCTGGAGAGACCTTTTCCCTTTTCCTTGAGCAGCAAGTAAAGCTGACTGGCTCCCATGGCAAGCTCTGCAGGCAAGTTACAGCCCCACCTTCCTCTCCTAAATAATATGTGCCCCTTTCTTTAGGAAAGAGCCTGTCTTCACAAGGTATGGAATGATGAAGTAAGTAAGTAAATGAGAATGATGTATTTGACCGAACAAAGGTCTGACTCAGGATTTTTAAACTGTCTCATTTAAGTATTTGCATATCTTGAAGAATTTGGCACTAAAGCTATGTGTGAAAGATACTTAAAACCATAATGTTTTATTTCCTACCCCCTGAAAATCTGGACAAAATGCAGTTGGAAAGAATTAATAAACTGTGCCTGTGAACTCAAGAGACACCATGCTGTGTCCATAGGAAAGGGAGACTAGGGGTCCTTTGTGGGCAGTGTCAGTATATGTTTTCTAGGGTCAAAAGATCTGTAGTTATTTATCAGAGTCTTAAAAGACTTAATGACCTTTACCCTGGCCCCTCAAATTTTGAAGCAGTGTATGTCATGGGAAAAGATGGTGAAAATTGCTGTGCCTTTTTTCTTTTTCTTTTTCTTTTTTTTTTTGAACTCAGTGTATACCTGAATATAAATGCATGGGTAATTGAAACTAATTTTCTAAATCCTTTCTTCCAATTGTTTACCTCCTGGGTGCACTTGACCACTCTCTCACCCATTACCATGTCTGCCAAGGAGCTTGCAAAGGAAGAGAAGAGCTGAAACTGCAGCCAAGCCACCCACACAGTTTACTGCAGCTCTACTCAAGAAAAGAGGAGGGTGGGTTTTGATTGTCTATGCTACTCTATTCTGATCATAGCTGGTGAAACAGAAGTGTGCTCTTATTTTCATATGCTCTCCACTTAACCTCACACTTCATGTCCTGCACAGTGTGGCACCTGGCATACACTGAATCAGGATCCATAAAGCAGCATGTGGATAAGAGTGGCAGATTTTGCATTCTCACTCATGGTATCCTCTGTAACTCAGTCCACCTTGGCAGAATCTCTCATCTGTTGACACAACAATTGTGAAATCACACAGTTGTTGAGATCTCTCAACTGCATTTGTTCTGAATAAAAGAAAGCTCTGTACTAAGTATCGTAGACAACCCTGGAGCAGTGTGACCCCCCCTTCCCCCCAGTTCGGGCACAGACCTAGCTGCAAGTGGGCACATGGGTTTTTCCTCTGCTGGGACAAGGTACTGGAGTGTGCCCTTCCTTCCCATCCACTCAAGTAGAACCACAGTGAGATTACCTGCAGATTCAATTAGGCTAACAGACCAACTGTGCTTTTTAGGTTTAGGGAGTTGGTGTAATTAAGTTAGGACAGTAGACACAGGATAGGGAATAATAATGAGTGTCAGGATCTGTTCTAATCTGTTATATCCTTACTCATTTAGTTAGCACAGTAACCATGCCAGGTTGGTACTATGACTCAGTCCCATTTTAATGATGAAGAAACTGAGGCACAAAGAAGTTAGCCAAATTAAAAAAATGGAGCCAGGATTGGAACTTAGCTCTCTTCCTACATGTTTGTCAATTAGTAAGGACAGTTGCATTGGGATAAGGATTGTTTAACTTGCTTATCTGGAATTAGAGATAATTTATAATTAAAATTTTATAGGACAGTCTGTGGATTCATTTCTAAATATATAATCACATATACTGCTTGATAATCAAATAAAAATTTTAATTTAAATTGTTATTGAATTCTGCAATGACAGGTATTCTTTTTCTTTGTATAACCATATTCTATTTTATATGCGTTATTATGAGAGATTTGTCTGATTTTTCTAAGTTTTTGAAGAGCCTTTTGTGTTCTATTTGCTTTATTATGAGGGTTATTCTTTCTTCAGTTTCTTTCAAGTTTCTGAAGAGTCTATCTGGCATACATTGTTCATGTAATCTACAGAAGCTATTATTTAAGAAAACTAAAAGCAGTGGGTATAGATAAACCAGCTAAGAGAAATGGGGCAGTTCACCTCTATTCCAAAGATCAAGGTAGTGATGGGGATAAACTACTTAAGGTGGAGAAAACTCAGGTGTTTCTGGCTCCCAGCAGACTACACACATTAACAAATGCAAGCAGTAAGTTTTGGAAAAGAGCAATAGAGAAATGAACTCCAGGCTGGAGAAGGAGGTGGACTTTTACCTGTCACAGTATGGCTGAACTAAGTATAAAGTGGCTACTTCTGAAGAATTTAGTACAGGTTTCAAAGCTTGAAGCCAATAAACTACTCTGGGGATTTTGACAGCAAGTGAAATCAAGGTGAATTATAAAGATTAATATTCTAACCAACACATCTGTTTTAGATGTAATTAGAACTACCAGTAATAGAAAAAATTAACACATTATGAAAGATACTTTTCAAAGGCTTATATTAAAAGTTTTAATTAAAATTTGTCTTCTAAAGTATGCTGAGATTTTGGCTTTGTTTTTTTTGCAAAGTTAACTACTTCAATAAATCTTAACTATAATGTAAAAATCTCTCATTACAAATGGTAGTAATCTTATAGATAGACAAAGTCTGGAATCAACCCTGAAACTCAGGGAAACTTCATGCCTAATTTTTCTGTGACATCTTCCTGCTACCTGATAACAGCATATCTAAAGTGAATTGATCATTCTAAGATTTTTAAAAAGTATTCAAACAGAAGGAACTAAGATGGAATGGACAGCTTCCCTTAGTTTTCCTTTGCCACACATAATCTTTGAAATAAAGGAACTGAGGATGTCATCTCTCATGCAGAAAGCTCAAAGTGTGTGTCTCAGTGTTGAGATGGTTGATTATTCTAGAGACTTCCTGAGCAAACAAGCAGTTATTTATCAGTTAAGTAAGAGTCACATTATTAGTTGGACCTGGAGCCAAAAGAATTTTGTTCAAGACATGATTCTGTCCACCTTGTCTCAGTTGTCTTGTCTTTTAGGATGGGTCATAATTCCTGGAGTTCTTGACTCAAAGGAAGTAATAAACGGAAGGTAATTTGTAAACCAATAATAGCACCATATAAATATGTTGATGTTACCCATTGTCCTTTCAGTAAATTCAGTTTAACTTTCCAAGTTCAGTATCAAAACTAATGAAGTCTTTCTACCATTTTGAGCACAGAAACAGTTTGTTTGTTTTTTTTTAAATAATTTACTGAGATCAAGATTCCCCAGGAGAAGTATGTCTGTTCATCTACTTTTGGAAATACTGACTTTAATAGTTTTTGCTCTAAGTAGTTCAGTTTTGAATTGGTTTCTGCCTTTCAGCTTTGAGTGAGATAGGAATAGGATTCCTTATAAAATGTTGTATTTTCTTACTATACTTTTTATCTCTAAGTTGTAAAAGTAAAGGAATGATGTGAGAGATCGGGAACTGATGTTACCAAAATCCTAAACCTTGCTTTTGCCTCTGGGAGATTTATTCTTAATAGACTGAAAATTTCTTGAGCAGTTACTATGTGGACCTCAGTGTGGGTGTGAAAGAAGACTCAGTAAAATTTTACTTGTAGTAAAAGTTGTAAAAATCCAGTAAGATTAAGGGAATTCAACTTTTATTTTGAGGAAATTTCAAATTGATAGAAAAGTTGCAACAATAATTATAGAGTACAGAATTTTCATAAATTACTAAAAGGAATTTTTTTTTTTCATTTTTCTACTAAAAGGAATTTTAAATACTTTGGGTCTGAGTCTACTCATTCTGCTTGATATAAGCTTATTGAAATGGGCTAAGTATTTTGTTTTTTGTTTTTTTCTCTTCACAGAATATCTAGAAATGGAAATGCCATATGCACAAAAATTTTGGTACAGACCAGAAGTCTTTAGAATGTCAGTTCCTTGAGGTTATGTGGGAGTCTTGTCTGTCTGTCTGTCTGTCTGTCTATCTGTCTCTCTCTCTCTCTCTCTTTCTCTCTCTCTCCTCCCTCTGGTGGTTGGGATCAAACCCTTGTGCCCAACTTTCTCTTTTCCTGCCCTTTCCTATTTCCTCCTTTGCCCACCCTTCCTCTTCTTTCACCTTGTCCTTCTAGTTAGGAGACACAAAGGAAGTAGTACTTGTAATGTGTAATGGTCTACACAACTAAAGGGTACCTGACAGGTAGCTTTGCTTCCCTGGTGCCCTTGTTAAGATAGCCTAATGAAGGGACCATTGTGCTGATGTTAATACTTAGCTCAGAAAACTTATGGCATGTTCTCAGTGGGAAGTTTCGTGTGTGCAGCACTGGTCTTTTCTGTATGACATTAGATCTCATCCCTGAATAGGTACAAAGTCTTGGTCACTGTGCCCAGTTTTTCCATTTTTCAGATGCTACTGTTGAGGAAGGAGCTGTCCTTACTTTGCCAGCCTGTGACTTCCGGGTTTGCTGTCTTCAGTCACTGAGGCAGAGATAAT